TGTGGACATTTACACAAAAATTCTCCTGCATGCAGAGATAGTTAGAGACATATTTCCAGGAATTCACATAGAGCAAACTACAGCAATGACATATGATGCTAACTTTGAAGAAATATGTTGTTCCAATCTCATCTTCCATAAAAGCAAAATCCTTTTGCACATCTCAGATTATCTGCATTCTTGGGTCTGAAGCTTAGTAAGTGACATTTATGAGATTTTTGACTTCTGCTTGCTATATAAGTGACAGACTTCAGTGGTGCAAGGTACAAAGATGCAGAAATGCTTTTAATAATGAATAGACAAGTTATTTCTGGGATAACTTGTTTTCCATGTGGCTTGGAGAATCTTCAAATTGCCTTTCATATAATTGTCAGGGAAGGCTGCAGGCTCTCCAGGGTGTCACTGTTTTACTGGCTGGTTGGTTGTTCTCAGTTCTCTGCAGAAGTTGTGTGACAGAGCCAAACAGACGAGCAGAGGGAGAAAAAAGGTGGTACAAACTGATAGTAAAAGCAGCAATTAAAAAAAAATTATAAGAGTTTTCATGCTCATCTCCACAGAGACTATACAAAATTGATGACAAAAACTGAAAGAAAATGCAGCAAAACAACAAAAAAATTAAACAACTTCCAAAATCATATTTGCTTGGTGTTGCACATTTGGTCATATATTTTTCATCATCCTCATTTGTCATTCCTAGGAAGAAATGAGCTTGTGTGACAACAGAGCAATGGGGTATGGACTCAAATATGTATTGGGTATGGGGACGAGTCAGGTATTTTGCACAGTTGTTATGGCAAGAAGATCATATAAAGCTTAGAGGGTCTTAGCACAGAGATGAGTGCAGTAGCAAAAGTTAGGAAAAATCTGCAGTTTTTTCAAAGTTTTTCCTGCAGCTGCCATTTGGAACTGAAGAGCCATTGAGTTTGATTTTTCATTTAGCAATTGTTTTTTTGAGTAGGATCTTTCTTAGTCCAACTTTCCTATTTCTACAGCAAAATATTATCATTGCTAATGGTGCAGAGTTATGTGGGCTCAAACACTAGACCAACACATCAGGTTCCTTGCCAAACTCTGAGCCTGCTCACAAGTTCTTCAAAGAGAGCTTTGTTGCACAGTGGAGGCAAAGCATTTCTATGTGTTAGACTCACAGTCTTGGACTTGTGGCCATGAGAGCTTTACCAAAAGTAGTTACAGTTTGATTAATTCACAGAAAGGGGAAGCAGAGTGTAATTCTATTGTATGTTTTCTATATGGTAGTTAGATTTAAACTCTGCATTAAAAAAATGTCCTTGTGATTTCTCATGCTCTGTTTGTTTGTTTGCTCCAGAAGATGCACAGGGCCAGTTGGAGTGCTGATGGTCTGGTATTGATCTGGAAGTCCTCATTCAAAAAAACAAAAATGTTCAGACAATCCATTCAGACACAGCCTTTCTGGTCTGCTAACCATGCAGTCCCTCTCGAGGCAGGAGGGAGCAGTACAGAAGCAGAGCATGAAAATGTTGTCTGCCATTTCTCCAGTGTCCTGCAGCCCTGGCTGCAGGCTCCACCTAGGAATCAACTATCCATTGCCCAGATGTTCAGCCTCACTTGGCTGCTGGGGATATTGCCTTTAAGCAATTTCTTGCAAAGTCGGAAGAACCAAGATTTAATGTGTTCCCAGAAGCTTGCACACTGTCCTGCAGGCAATTTGTGCAATATTGCTATGCCAAGGGAACATCTTAATAAATACCTCTGTCCCCCTTTTTTTTTTTTTTAAGATAATTTCTTCATGTTGGATTTCTTGATACCTGTCTGGAAAGAACAGATATCTTTCCTTTTTGAAAGGGAAGTGAATTCTGTGCGTGTTTGCAGGTTTCTGCCAGCAAGAGAACCTTTTGAAAGTGAGTGAACAGGAGCTGCACAAGCATGAAAATGCACAGCATCATTTTTCTGCTCTCCATCAAAGTTAATAACTTGTATCTAAACTTGGCCAGGTTTGTTCATCACTGCTACTGACCCCTGAGCAAATTTGCTTTGACAGGTGCTTTCAGGTGTCCTGAAAGTTTAAAAATTACCATAACTGTCCTTTGTTTAATGCATGTATCTTGTCGTATCTGCTTATATCTGTGGGTATTTATGTTTTGCCACAATTTGGTAGTATAACTGAGCAGGAAAAACCCCTCAGACTATGCTAAATCCATGTTTGCCTGTCTGACCTCAGCAGTGCAGTCCCTGGTTGCTTTTCTTGAACTATTTTTTTGGCATTCATTCCTCCCCATCCCAGTCCCATTAATGTTTCAGTCCTCCTTTCTGTGTTTATTCTGTTCTTTGCTTCTCCTCCCTCTTCCATACCTGTGCCCAGATGATTGAATACTAAATTTTGTTATGCACTAAATTAATGTTTAATGTTTTTACAGGCTTATCTCTCTTTTTAGTGCAATCATTACCATTCTCTCTGCTTCCTTTGTTCTCACCTTTCCACTTAACTTTCTTCTATATCACCTCCCTTGTTCTCTTCTCAAATATTTCTTGAAATAAAAAGACTTTTGACTCCTTGGTGTAGCAAACCAACACATCTCCCTTTTCTGATCTGAGACCTGCACCCCAAAAGATTCCCTAGCTTGTCCTGCTGAGTCTGGAAAGTCTGTTCACAGATGAAAAGGTGAAGAGAGACCATGGTGCCATATCTTTGCTTGTCTGTGATGGATTTACATAGAAATTTTGGGTTGTACATGCCCTACCAGGGAGGGAACAGCTCCAGCCATACAGGGATGACCTCAATCCCTGAGTCTGGATTAAGGCAATTGCACACCTCATCCAGAACTGTCCCACCTTTCTTAGCTTTCATTTTCCTTCCAGGTGCATGCAGTAATCAATATCCTTTCACTGCATACAGTGCTCCTCAGAAGTCTAAATGCTAATGGTGCCATTTGGCAAGGTGAGCTACATCTGCTATATACAATGTAAGTGGAAATTGGAAATTGTTTAAGCTTTCAAATTTGTTTCATGCCATTAGATTTTCTCATGATTCATTTGTCATTCTAATTGGATTCTAACGTGTACTTTTCATTTCAAAACTTGAAATGATGAACACTGCATAACAAAGAATGCTTAAGAACAGGCAGCTCCCCAAGCTGTGTTTAATTTACACCAGATGAGTAAATGAGGAAGGTGAAGAGTCACTGAGTAACAAAGTGATGCTGCCTTAGAAATCCAGCAATTAATTGCAATGATAATAAGAAGAGTGATTAAGTTGATTCATTTAAATCCTCCAGCAGTGTTGTAATTGCTCAGTTGAGCAGGATGCTAAGGATGATTTTTACCCTTGTCCTTCCAACTTTTCTAGATCTTTCACCTACTCTTTGCTGACCTGACTTTGCACAGGATTACCTGAGGAGTAAACAGAAAACTTTTTCTGCTACAAATGGAGCAGAACAATAACTAATTGATTCTCCTTCTGGAAAACAGCAGAAGAGCTGGAAGTCCATGTGGGAAGGCTCTTCTCATCCCTTCTTGGGAGCACACAGGTGTGTTCCTGGCTGACCACATCAACTAAGAGCAAAGTTCTGTAGAGAGTCCTGAGGCCTCCATAGCCTGAGCCTGGTGCCAGCCATGGGCAGGAGCTTTGTATACCCTGGCACATTTCAGACTCTATGTCTCCTTCTTAATGCAGCCATTGCAATTGAATAACCAAAGTGTAATTGTAGTTGAAAATTCAAAGTGTATTTTATTCTAGTTCTCTGAGACCTTAAAACAGAAATCATATGATCACAGTGGCATTTCATGCACTATTTTGAAAAGAGATAATTGAATCATAAGCTGTTTTTTTTCAGCCAGCTAGGAAATGAGCAGGTTTGCACTGGTGGCTGCTAATAGCAGACTCTAGGGTGTGGATGAAGTTTGTTTCTATAGCCCAGGATGTTATGCCAGTGACCTCAACACCATCAGTTCATTCTTTTCCATTCTTTTATTCTGAATTTTAGAAGGCAAATCTTAGAGGACAATTTTCTGCTGCACTTCTTGGATGTTAAAAGTACAGCACTGAAAAATCCAAGGGACATAGATCTTGTTTGGGATAGAAAACATACATATGTAGCATCAACACTAACTGGGATTTGCTGGTGTATGTCTGAGATGTAGATAACTTCTGCAGTTTCTTTCTTTGCTCTGTGACTTAGCTGCCTTTTTGGAAAGATTGGGAATATTGTTTTTCTACATCAGAAATAGTTGAGCTGGAGGAGCTCAGCTTAGACAGTTGTAAAGAAAGTTATTACTGAGATATGAAAAGTAAATCCATTTTTTTAACTTTTTGTTTTCTCTTTTCTGCCCAGCAAGCCCATCTTTGTGTGAAAACCTTTTCATTGAAGAATGCAGCATATATGGGTATACTAAAGTCAGGGGTACATCAACATGCAAGCATATTAAAAAAAAAAAATCTCTTTATTATCCATGACTTATTTTTACAACAAGGAATATTTAGCACTTCAAGCATGAATACATAAAAATGTACACAGGTGCTGCATGTTTTTAGACCAGATGGGCCTTATAGACAATAGACAAGAACATATTGGATACAGCAAAACAAATTTGCATTTTTAAATTTCTTTTTTTTTTTTTTTTTTTTTTTTTCCAGTGTGTTAATTCTCATGAATACATCAGCAGAGAGCTGTGCTTCTCTTTTCAAACCAAGTGTGATGCAGGCAGCAGATGTGCTGCTGTGCCCATCTTGCTGTGCCCAAGCAGTGCTCACTGAGGCTGCGGGTGGGGTGATGTTTCCAAGGTACCAGCTCCAGAGGCATCCAGGCCTTTCCTGTCAGCTCTGACATGGCAGAGGAGCAGCCATTTATTGTGGGATTTGAATAACTCCAGTACTCATGCCCAGGAGCTGGAATGGGACTCTGGAGCAGCTCTCAGTGAGCAGCAGCTCCTTCCCTGGGCTCATCTCAACTCGCTGACTCCAGAGTGAAGTGTCCCTGCTGCAGGTGATCAGAATGTGCTGAGTCACTTAAAAACAACAGTTCTGGTAGGATTAATCACAATTTATATTGTAATGGTTTCCAGATGAAGGTTCATCATTGTGTACTGTATTATATAGACAGTCTGAAAAATCACAGTCATCTTCCACTTTGGAAAACGGGTTTCTGAGAGGATCACTCATTCCCAGGAACTCAGGATTTCTCAAGAATCCTGAAATGTTTGCCTACATTTATAATGTTACCCCCCACCCCTTAATCCCAGCTGCAAAAATCTTTATTATAGGAAGGAGCAATTTAGTTTTGTTTTTTTCCAGAACATCATGTCTGCTTTCCTTGGTACTGTGGTTCCCTGATCAGCCAGCCCATTTGTTACATGCCTATGTGATGAGGGATTTTTTTCCAAGGAAAATGTAAACACAAATCAGGCTAGAACATTTTTTTGGTCTTAATTTGCCTTACAACTAGTCAGCTCCTCATTAGAGAATGTGAAGAACTTCATCTAAAAAGAATTTAATTGAACAGATTTTTAGGAACATGTAATATATACCATGAGGACGATAAATTTCATGAAATGTTTTGTTTTGTCAGAAACTCATTTTTCCCTGACAAATGGATTTCAGGGGAAATTTTCCAGAAGGCTCTGCTCACTGGTCTGTGTGACTGGAGAAAAAATAAGAAGCCTAAACCAGGAGAAAAAAGGATACGAAAACTTTTGTCAGAGAAGTTAATGTCTGGTGGCAGCTGGCAAGGAACATAGCTTGAACTCCTAGATCTCTTATTTCCCAAGGAAATCTTACACAGGTACTTTCTGTTCTACAACAGTCATGGTTTAGGCATTGCTGGACTCCAGCACATTTCTGCAGCCTGTTTTAGCATCTCACTCATAATTTTAACTGGAGTTAAGCAACACTTGTGATTTTAACTTTGGTTTCTAAGAAGCATAAACCACGGTCAGGAGTTAAGCTGGGTAATTCTTGACCTGTTGAGGCAATTCATTCAACCTGTTTAAAAAACCCAAAAACCCCAAACAAAACCAAATTTCTGCCAATCATTTTGACCAATCTTTGGCTCCTAAATGAAGAAAGGTATACCTTGACATTTTAGAGTGTTTATAAAAGCATTTTTTGAACCCTTTCATCCTGCTTGTCTGCTTACCATTTAGTTTATTTTGCAAGAGGACACCCGCTGCTTGTTTCCAGCATGGAGACTCCTGCAGCACTGCTGTACCATTGGGAACTAGACTCCAGTCTGATGAAATGAATCTAAAAAGAACGAGAGGCCCTCTTGATGTAGCAGGCATGTGATCACAGATTTGGAGAATGCTCTTGATATCTGTTTGATCACATATGGGTTCTTTACACACTCTTAAAAAGTAAAAGCAGCAGCAGAGCTACTCAAAGGAGAACCCCATTAAGTCTGAGAATGGCTCAGACTTAGAGAGATCTTATTTTCCTCATATAATGAAATCATCCCACCTCCTTTTATTTCCCCAGGAGCACTTGGGGAGGTTGTAACTTGGGGTGGTTGTTGCCTGTTGCCATGAAACACAGCTGTTTGCAAGGCAGATAAATCTCTGATGAAGGGATTTAATTGTCTTGTATATGGATGGGATGAAGCACACTCCTGCATGTCTCAGAAAGACCTCTGTGTGTGTGTGTGTGTAGGAGGCTGCCTCAGTCATGTTAAATTCATATTAGGTAGCACTTCCAGAAATGACTGGAAAGTAGAGCTGTTGTTGATGCAAAAGGTCACAGACATTAATAGCCTGCAGAACAATTCCAGGGTGCAGAATTATTCACAGCTGTCAAAACACAAAGCAAAGAATAAAAAGAACAAGGGAAAGAAAAGGTTTGAAACAATGGCATCTCTCTGTTATTACTGCTGTTATACTTTGGGCTTTTTAAAAACACTCATCTTGGGAGGGGAACCAGGATGTTAATTCTGAGCTGTTTTCTGCTTTCTTCTTTTAAACAGCAACAGGAAGTGTGTCCTTTTTTTGTGCTGCTTTTATTGCATTTAGAAGCTTTTGTGGAAATATGAACAGCAGTGAGTCTTGATGAAATGCATGTTCTTCTGACTGAGAATGGCCTTTACAGGGAGTCCAGTTGTTTTTTTTTTTGGTTTTTTTTTTTTTTTTCAAGGGCTTCAGACCAAGACAGAAGAGGTGGAGGGTGAGGAAAGGGAAAGGATGGAAGGAAAGAGGAGGAAAGCATTGAAAGGGAAGGGAAGTTGTTGAAGATTCAGACACGAATATAGCCTGTTCCTTAGGATTGAAAATATTTTGTTGCTCAAAGAAAAACAAATTCCTCTATATTTAAGGCTTGTTGTCTACTTGTGGCAGAGACACAGAAGGGAAAGGCGTAGCTCTTGAAAGCCTTTACAGAAAAAAAGGAATGAAAAGCACAAAAAAAATCAAATGGTAAACGTGTGTGTGTACTCCCTCCCTTCCTCTCACCAAGACTCACAGCCCCTCTTATTTTCCTCACAACCCCTTGCAGACAGTCAGGGGTTCCAAGCAGGAGACAGAAAATAACAAAACATCCATCTTTATAGTCAGATCTATAGCTGGTATGATTTGATAACCAAAGCTGGTAGCCAATGATCCTCTTCTATGTACACTGGCATTTATTATGCCAGCAAAGTCACAGATCAATCATTTTCACCCCTGCTGCTGACAGATCAGGTGTAGGCTTACAGCAAGTGGGAAACTGGGCAGATTAGGAGCTAGCTCTATTGTTCTGATTACAAATCACAAAGTCTTTGACTTGCTGAGTAAAATAGGAACAGACATTTTCTCTTTTTCCTTTCTGACTGAAAAAATGGAATTACTCTTGTATTTATAGCCACCATTTCCCTTCCCACTAGCATTGCCCTCCCCTTTAATGCAGATCAATAGTTCTGTCCTTTCCAGCAAATATTTTCAGAACTCCACCAGTCTGCACTCACCCTGTGAAAGGAGAAAGCCCTGCTCCATATCTGCATCCTCTTAATCTGACAAGTGCACTCCCTGACTGGTTTTATCTGTGTTTCCTCCATTGTTCCTCCTACAAAGAAATCTTTGTAGGGATGGCTCAGGAGACAGCCAATGATCTGTAACATCTTTCCCTCCTACATTTGCTTCCAGCAGTGATTATTGCCTTGTGCTGTTTGGGGAAAGTGAGTTCTCTTCATGCTCCTGGCAGAAAAGTGTCCAAAGGATGAACACCCATGGTGTTCATGGGTGGTAGTTAATGGGCACAGCTGTAGTGTGATGTGTAGAACTGGAGCTGACACGGGCTGTCCAGTGCTCTGAGAAATGTATGGACCAAGTGTCCCTTCCTGGAGGTATTTGGGGTTGCGTAAAACTCAGTAGGTAATGGAAAATGATTGTATGAATTTATTACACCATACCTGCCATGTTTGAGCTGTCTGTAAACTGGCAGAGTGCAGTCTGTTGTTAATGATCCCAGCACGTAAGGAAGCATGAGCTGGCCTCTAATGAGTGTAACAAGGTCTTCCCATGTTTGTGCAGAGACTGAATCATCTGATGTATGGGCACTTAATCAAGAACTTTTCATAGGGACTTGCAATCAGATGCTGACACAAAAAAACCCAAAAAAACCCCCAAGAACTCCTCCAAGCTAAAATAGTTAAAACAGTATTGATAAGGAAATGCAATTGTTTGTAATAGTTTAGCCAATGTTCCTCCTCTAAATATTGCCCAAGGGGTGTACATTAGTTTGTGCAAACTATTGACATAACACATGATCAAATAACTGTCACTCAATGAAAAGGGGAAGGAGATGAAAATCCAGCCCAGGAAATCCTTTTTCTTCTAAGGGAGAGAAAGCAAGAGTTTGTATTCCTGTTATGTACCTGCTACTGTCCCGTCCTGCCCTTTTCTTTCCTCTGGTCACTGGTAATCAAAGCAGCCAGGGAATCTGAGACAGGCTGGATGGGGAATATGATCCCATGTAACTGCTGTCAGTGTGCTTGCCTGACTCTGGTATCAGTTCATACCTTGCAGGGTGATGAGGCAGGCTGGAGAATTTGTATTTAGCTCCTGTCCCAGAGGCTGATGTTTGCTGGAGCATTGGCTGCAGCGGCAGGTGTTGGGTGTGTGAGGGACGTGCAGGGAGGTGTGGCAATCTCAGATGGAGATGGTAATCATCTAAGGAGCTAAGGAATGTTCAGGGGTGGCAGTAAATCATGACAAAAAAACTTCAGAAAATCTGTTATCTGCATCACACTTCCACTAAACTTGATGTGGAGTAGATAAAGATATGAAGGATCAAGCAATAGAGCAGCGCAGATTTCACCACTGCTGGCTGTTAAATCTATTTATGCAAAAAGGTATAGAAATATTTCTATAGTTACATTAATATTATAATCTATATTATAATATAGGTTATTAGAATATAATAATCTATATTAATAGTAATTCAGCTGCCTCTGTAAGAGTTCCAGTTCTCCATGAAGAAAAGTCACATTTTTTAAACAGAAAAATCCTTAAGAAAATTCTGATCCCCATTTTTTTCATGCTAGTGTGCCATGAAGGTCAGAGAAAGGACTTGTATGTGACAGGAAAGGCTTTTGCATGTGTTATTGCATCCTATCTTTCCTTGTTTCACAGAAACCACGAGTGTTAACAAAATTTGGAGAAGGCAGAGTCTGACTGATTACATCCACTGTTTCCTTTCCTACTTTAGGTTGCCATGCAAGTATTTTGTGACAGTGCTTCTGAAAGACATAATGAGGGGCAAGTCTTAGGTAACATTTTTTATTTTTAAGTTTCATTGAAGTTTCAGCTTACTTGAGGTTGAAATTCACACTAAAGACAATCTGAGAAGAGACAAAAGCATCTGTTGCTTACTGCCAGTATTTCATTCTCATTCAAGTCATTGCAGGAACTCAGCTGACATCTTTGTGAGGTGTTGACACTGCTTGATAGTTCTTCATCACTGTGAGATTAATCGAGGGGAAATACTATAGTTTTTCTTCCCTCTGGCACTTTGAGCCAGCGTTTCTGTTTTTGGAAACACCAAGTGTATCAGGCTGAGCCTCTGGAAGATGTGGTGTCGAAGACCACCCTAGGTTGGGGGTGGCTCTGTGTGGTGGAAAATCTTCTCCTCCAACCCGAGCTTCCAAAGAAAGGCTCAGCATTCTCTGTTGTTCTGTCTCAAGGCAGTTTATTGCAAGTTATCTAAAAGATTTTCTTCTCGGGCTGCTGTGGTTTGCTCAGCAGCTCAGGCAGAGACACACACACACCCTGACATCCTCTCTGACTCCTGACTTCTTCTCTTCCCCCACCCAGGGCTGCTGCTGTCTTTTATATGGTACATTACATGTTAAATGTTTGCAGTTTTCCCCCAATGCCTATTACCTATATTAAATGGTACTTTTCTACTCTAAACCAATCTGTGAGTGCCAACATCACCAAGAACATGGAGGTAAGGAAGAAGAAAGAGGGAGGACAGGACAGGCCCAAATCCCTCCATCTTTAAACATCTGACCCCCATGTGCAAAACCAAACCCCCCCTGTACAGCACCAAAAATTCTTCCCTCTACTTTGTAACTACTTCTACTATAACATCTAAACTTTTGTGACTTCTTGTTCTTCCTGCAAGGTTAGTAAATCATTCCATGGTTCAAATCCAAAATCACAGCTGTTTCCAGCTGCCTGCCAGGGTCTCAAATGCTTCTGACCAGGGCCTGGAACCTCCAAAAATGTCTGAGGGACATTTTGAGTTCCCACAATGTGATGCAAGTATTTTGGGAGCACCAGCTCTCCATGAGACTGGCTTTGAGAAACAACAGGGTTTGGAAATAGATCTATAACACGCTGATGTGTAACACACCATCTGAGGCGTGGCAGGGTTTGCACTGCTGGACAGGGACTTTTGGTTCCCTTTTGCAGCTGCCATGCCCTGGCTCATTCTCAGGGGAGCACCCTGCAAGGCTGACCCTGCCAGGACTCTCCTTCTTGTGCTCCTTCCCTCACACACAAACTTGCATGGCCTCACTCCTGCCTTATCCTGCAGAGACAGGAGCCAATGGCCAGGAGTTCCAAACCCCTCCCTGCGTGCAGAACAGGGGCTTGGCAGATGGGAAATATCTTTTTGAGCCTGTCTTTGTGTGTACGTGCTCTCCAAGATGGGTGACCTCAGGGAGACTCTGGAGACAGTAAAAGGCAGAAAATCTTTCAGCTGGTGCCATTTAATAATGAAAATACATTTCAGCTCCTCATTTGCAGCCACATGGAGGGGCTGTCTTTTTCATTTGAAAAAGAAATCTTCCAGAGAGGAAGAGTTACTGCTGTTTTTGAAAGAATTTTGCTACATGAGCTGTAACAAACTGACAGCACTATAAAGGTATTTACAGATCCGTAGTTTCAGACCAGGATGCTCAATAAAGGCTGATGGAGTAGATTTTCTATGTGAATTTAAGTTAACTTAGGTAAATTCATTGTTTCTCTGGGAAAACTGGTTCTATTTTCCCTTTTCTTAAGCATTTTTTCCAAGCAATACTTTAACACCTGAGTTACTTCTCCAGTGCTGTGGGAATGAGGAAGTGAGTGTCCTTGATGCTCCTGTTGGCACTAAATGGGAAGTCACACACTGATAAACTAAGGGTGAAGAAAATGTCTTTGGAGAGTTCTGATCTTATACATCCACTTTGTCTCTAATGCTTTCACACATTGCCTACTGACACACTCCAGTTGCCTTCCCTGAGGTCATGAAACGTTTCTCTGGTTCATTTTGGGAATAGAAACACTGAGAATTTTCACTGTTTTCCTCCTCTTTTTTTTTTTTTTCTATGTCATGGACTGATACTTAGCTCATCTTCCTACTTCCAGTGCTTTAGTTTGATCACTCCACAGTGTCCATCTCATTCAGCTGCCAAAATGTGCCTCGTTGAAAACCTGCATCCCTCCTGTTCTTGAAATGGGGCACGCTGGGCTTGCTTTGCTGCTGTCCTGGGAACAAGGTGGGCAAGTTGTGCTGCTGGCAGCAGTGCACACCTGCTGGCATGGCCTGTGGCTGTGCAGGCATCCCTGCTCTATTGTAAATGCAGGCGAACCCAATGGGAAGAAATGACGATGTCTGACTCAATTTAGAAGGCTGAATTATTTCTTTATAATAACTATGCTAAAATAGATCAATATACTATATAAAAGGAGGATACTAAAACTACACACTACT